GCTAATTCAAGTATCTATAATTAATCAAATGTAAATATTGAAGGTGTGTCAATAACCAAATGTAGTCATTAAACAGAAGTTGATTGTACATSGAATAAACTAATAGAATATAAATCTTGATGATGAACTACTGATATTATATTGTCTCTATAATATACATGAATGGATCGTATAGAAGAAGCGAAGTAGTGGAGATACAAAAAATGTAGAAATGTATGGAGCGATTGACACTTCTTAAAGTACTCGTAATGTAATCTACTGTTTAGGCTTGGTAATGTTAATCCTAATAAAGATTAAAACTAAATAAAGTTTCCCTCTTTAATGTATTTCATGATGTAATTCTGTATGTGGTGAAATGAATATTTCCTTAAATGGTGCAGGGATRRATGCGTTAAATGTGTGGAAAGTCAAACCTGGCAATTTTTAGGAGGCTCTTTCTTTAATRCAACTRTTCCTTTTTTCYGCAATAAATACGAATCTAGAGCTCAGTCATCTGTCAGTTCGTATTATAAAGCAAAAACGTAAAATCTAATTTCTAATGAAAATAATGACCGGAATGAGTCATAGGATTGAAGTAATAAATAACAAATAAAATACATTTACTGTGTTTGCTCTGATCAGCTCTCGAATTCTCCCAAACACATCGAGGTTCGAATAAATAAGTGCAAGCACACTGAATGTTTTGTGTTGTTTTTWAATAATCCGCAAAACAGTTTTTTCGAGGCGATGTTGATTTATTAATTGCTGCTGATAAAACTAGCAATTCTCCATATACGCGCATCATCGTCCAAGCAACATTCGGGTGAGATGAAGTTGTTTGACTTCAAGGAATAATCATGTCCTGTTAACATGATTGTTTTATCTATTGTATATTGTTCATTATATTTTCAGATTGTGATTTTTGACCATTCACGACATGTGTTATGTTTCTCAGTTTTTGAATAGTATTGGAAATATCCTATCTTTTATCTCTTTCAAAGTTTTCMAACCCGCGCTTACAAAGATTGTGACGCTAAAACCATGTTTGCACACTGTACTGTCATGCAAACACAGTTTTCGGCCAGTCAGAACGCGCGTAGTATCTARATTATTTTATAAAGTATTTTCAAAGGCTGCGTCTACACGTTCGGATATTTTTAAGGCGGATATTTTTATTTTCTTTACGTTTACACAAAACACATCGTTTTCAAAACGCGTTTTCGACAATATCCTGATATAATATCCTGATACAATATCCTGTCATCAGTTTCACCCTGAAAAATATGCGATTTCGATAATGGATACGAACGCAAGATAAGATAAYCAGGAAAGTAGCTTTCATTGCATTCTTGTTCAGATGACAATCTTTATGGATGTCTCACACTGCAACTCAACATCTCAATCGTTTTGAATACATCAATCATGACAATTCTTTATCTACTCGAGATGTTTTAGAACATGGATCTAGAACGGCTGCGAACAGACTTTTTGCTRTATTTAATAAAGCTACAACGCTATTTGTTTACTGATAAATAGAGGATATTACATGGGCGCGCGGAGATACGGATTTTATCTTCGAATGTTGAGAAAGATTTTCAACACGAGAAGATAAAATTCGTATCCCCAAGCGAACATGTAATATTCTATTTATCATATAATTTTATATGAAAGCAAATTATGCCGTAAAATACCGTTTTTCTTACTTCCACTATATAGAGAAACCTCGCAATGTGTTATTTTCACTAGTKAAAATATCAATTTTACGAAATGGAGAAATATAGGTATTTCATAGATAATTATATGACAAATAGGTTTCTCAATCTCTTAAGGAGTTCACTATCTGCCATAAAATGCACGCAATAAATGTTGTTGATTCTGGTGACAAACGATAGCGACTTGTTTTGGACGGGATAACAAGGAAATGTAATTCACCATTTGTAATTCTTGTTAGGCGAAATTGATGAATCCAAGGACGATGGCATGGAAGAGGACACAACAAACCCTCAGCACCTTRCACTACTCAGTCTACACTTTGAGGAAAAACGACGTCAAATCGAGGCTGAAAGACAACGCAGTCATGAGCAGTGGGAAGAAGAACGTCGAAAAATAGGCGAAACTACTTTCTGGTACACAATTGGACGTGCCCAAGGCAACGATAAAGACGCTGGGAAGACTTTACCTAGGCATGAGGTTTGTTATGATCCACACAGCTGGATCTATCATATTACTCATATTTTTGCTAATTTGCTCAGCATTAGCTTCAAAAGATCAAAATGCTCTTTTGATTAGGGTATTGATATCCCGATGAGAAGACGGCTTCAAATTAATTTTGAAATCTCATGTTCATTCTAAATTTGCATCACTGSAATTTAGACTGATAGATATTGAGATCAAAGCAATTATTTGAAAATAAGCCCATAGGAAATAAAAGTATTAAGAAATAGTCAATGAGATCTCTTGATGTGTTCACAACAGAATGAGCCGTTCGGTCCAGGTCAGCCGACACCACCCATCGGAAGGTCAACGCCATTTGMAGGTACTTCTCCATTGCAAAACAACCCTGTTTACCAGTCTCCTATTGGTGATGAGTATCAGTCAACCCTCAACCACACTACTATTGGTCATGGCTACCACCARACTTTTGTTCATCGACCTGGTCACCAGCCCACAGCTCAATCTCCAGTAATTCCACATACTGGTTTCCAATTCCCCTCCACTCATTCACCAACATATCCACCTGTGTCTTCAAGTGATTTCCATGGTAACCAACATGTACGTCCTGAGGAGCAGGAATATGAAACCCGGCAATTCCTTCTTTCTGAATATGCCGTTCASCAAGATGCGTCATCCGTACCGTCAAGTCAAAACGAGCCTAGTAAGTCCCCACTACGCAAGTGCTGGGAAGTAAATCCACCATCTGCTACTGCTGTTTTTGCAGCCTCTTCCACCGAGGGCGTGGCCCTACACGTGGAGGAAGCCCAARGTGAAGATARTGGTAATCAGTTTGAAGATCTTTCTGATGCACACAATAAGAAAGGAGTTGCCATGTTCATTGGAGACGAGACGGAGGTGAAGCAGGAGGAGGTAACTCACCCTGTATTGTTTTACTTTGCCCTTAAACTCTAAATCTATATCATTTCAAGAGTAAGGTTCCCCAGCACTTCAATACATGTACAGGGATGTTCAGATTTAGTCGTGGCAGTTTATCATTATTTAAGATATATCCTAATTTCARCTTTTACTTAAAGAATTTGCAGGGATTGACACCTGAACAGCAGAGGAAAAGAGATCGGTTTGTAAAGAATCGTCAAAAGAAACACGAAGAGGAAAAAATTCGTAGAGATGCTGAACATGAAAAGAAAAGATTGTAAGTATTGTCGTTATACTTTGTGCTATATTTTAATTATTATATAATAATTATCATGAGGAGGGGTTGAGAATCCAGAGAGGCCAGTTATGGAGGGCCAACGTCCAAGTTAATCTGTGAAGGAAAGGTGGTAACAACTAAATTTAAATGTAAAATTTATCGCAAAGCTCGTAACAATAAGATTTTATAACGTGGTCATTTCGTGGGCCTTCTATGGGACCCAAAATCCTTTAAAGTCAAATCCTCCAAAATTACCCTCATCTCCCTCAAAATCACTCAAAATTTTGAGTGGTACTTGTAGCCAGGCTATGCGAAATTTATTTATTCGCATAAGAATGTTCATTTATTTAAAAAAATGATTTTTTTCTTTACTGGCATAGACGTGAATTAAAACAGAAGGAAATCGAGGAGCAAAAGCGTTTAGAAGACGAACAGAAACGCGAGGAACAACGTCGACTTAAACAGACTCGAGAGAGGATGGCGACAAGTAACGGTGAAACGACTTCCCGTCCAGTAGCCAACCTGCCAGAGGACAATTCTGGCTTCAACGAATTCAGCGGTAAGTACTTGTGAAACATTATTTCAGCGGCGTTTCAATGCGGCTTTCTTGGTGAAAAGTTTGGGTGTGAGGCAGCGACAATGTCATTGGTTACTACACCAAGACTATCACTCTCCACTGTTCCTCAATATTGAATAACTGAACTGTTTGTTAGGTCCTCGATGTTACGTCAAGCCAAGTGGCAAATCAAATCGCAAGCTGATAACCAAYGCCATATCGCACGTGTGTTTGTCAGGAACCGTCAACAAAGAGAACAAGGAAAAGTGTCTGCAGGTAACATTGATTGTGTAGAATGATTGCGGTTCCAAACATGCCAACTGACAGACTAGACAAAGTACCTGATAGCCAGCGTTACGAACATTGACAAAAAGCCAGGAATACCGAAAAGAAGAACAAAWGGTTCTCATGTGTACTCTAAACTGAAAATTGATTTCTGAATGAATGWTACAGTTTACTGCTTCCTTTGTAGGCCATCGCTGACTCGCCGGGTTTCCATTTCATAGTTCTTTTTAAGGATGGTTTGAAGTTCCGTGGATTATACATGTTAAACCCAGAAAGTGAGCAGGTGCGTGATTACTTTGAGTTACGAAACAAGATAAAACATCCGTGTTCTTATGTTACAACATTGAAATTGAAAGAGTCCACAGTCAATAACGTGGCTGCATCCGTTCTGCCATTGGTTTTAAGACCATCAGATGTGTATTKAGTGATCTATTATTTTTACMCAATTATAACGTGGGAATTTTTAACTCGGTGRCTGACTGGATAAATTCGTATCTATGGTTGTGCTGGGACGCATGGTAAAATAAACGAAATCCATATTAACCCTTAAGTAACAATCTGCTCTGAAAATGATAAAATACATGCTTTATTATCTGAAATAATTCGAAATTTTCTCGATAAAAAATGTGTTCGAACTCATAATTGTATTCCAGGCATTCAAAGTTTTTGGGATTGGACCGAAGATCATAACCTCAAAGATGGTAGATTGCGTTTATAAGTAAGTATWTCCTTTGACTTTCAAAACAAACTGAAGCAAAATAACATCTTCCCTTAGAAAGGAATCTTCCGCTCGCKTGGTATTCAATCAGTTTGTCTTGCACTGTCCACCAAACCAAGATTTCAGTGWGGTGTTTGGTGTTTATGACCATTATACGCTGTTGTTGAATTTTTTAATGAATTTCTTATAACCTTGTACTTTTCGATATGTTTGCGTTAGAACCCTAGACTGTTATGATTGCAGTAAAATGTACGTTAATAAGACCACCATCGTCTTAGGTTTGACTAAGCTTTAAAGTAAACACGATATTACATCTGCATGGTTTAGAATTATGAATTGACTGACTTTGAAGCGCTCGAATCACTACCTAACCTACAATTGTAGGTACCAGGCCTTCGAGGGGGCCTGGTGAGAGGGGAGCTCAGCTAACTGTACTTCGTAACAGGCCAAGACTGAGGTCGCTGTGTATATATGCAAGAGCTATTTGAATACACGATAGAAATACACTTGCAGTAAAAACTAATGCATTTCTCATTCAACATGATCATTGTTATTCTTATGTTAAAGTCATATTCTTGTTTTATAGATATAGTAGTGGTGGGAAAGAGTTCACTAAAATTCCTTCCAAAACGCTATCGATATCTGTTGACGGTGTAGCGATATTAAAAACGTACTGGCAAAGTAACAAGCATAATGTGGCATCCAAGACACAGTCTAATTTAAAACGACCACCTCGACCCCCACAACGGTAAAGACCTCGTCTAAGCTACCATATTATTGGAATTTAAAGCCGATATATTAATATTATTAACAACTGTTTGTAGATAAACGAAGATATGAACCTTTCTATCTGGACAATGATATAGAGGATATTAYATGGCCGCGCTCGAAGATACGGATTTTATTTTCGAGTGTTGAAAAGATCTCTCACGAGTGATAATAGTGAGGGATTTTCAACGCGAGAAGATGTAAAATTCGTATCTCCAAGCGACCATGTAATATTCTGTTTATCATATAATTATATTTGAAAGTAAATTATGTCGTAAAATACCTTTTTTTACGTCCAGAGGAGCCTCGAATTTGTTATTTTCATTTAATAACAACTTTTCGAAAGAGAGAAATATAGGTATTTCATAGATAATTATATGATAAATATCGATATGTAGCGAAAGGCTTCGAAATTCATTTTTCCAATTAGAAAATGAATTGTTTTTTGAACAAAGCTGGAAACGTTTAAGTTATCATGGATAACACATTAAGATAAGTTTTGTTAATTAATGCATAAAATATTGCTATCTATGAAGAGAACGCAGTCCATAATACTTCTTCCTGTAAGTTAACATGGTTGTCCAATTTGTCTTGTAAATTAGTAAAAAGAATTATACGATAAACAAATCACTGAACAAATTAACTGAAATTTTTAGATCATAACGAAGACTTACTAATCTGATATTTTGTATCTAAGACCACCAAATCTGGTTAAACTTGTCAACAGAGGTAAAATAAGACGCATTGATTTAGTTCAGTTTGATGTATAGGGGGTACAACAATGCTTAGTCAATTGAATTTTACTGGTCTACCCGGACGAAGAAATTTCTTTTTACGCAGAAATGCGTTAAAAAGAACGTGATTTAAGCTGTATCAACGGTATTAGACCAAAGAAGTTTGTATATATTGAATTATGTTTTATTCTAATAGTTTTGTCCATCAGCCCCTATGAACGTGTTACCTGAATCAAAGAGAGCGACCATTGTTATAGGAAACTCACTATCGGAAAGACCTTAAAAAAGCGCGAAAAAATGTTGTTATTACAATAGCTCCATCAATTTGCAATCTCTACGTTTTGAGTCTGAGCCTTTATTCCCACAAGACCTAGTGTTTTTAAACACTAGGCTTAAAATCCTTCTGGAAATACAGGTTCAATCCCAAATCAGAGGGTAAATTTGTTGGTCTATTGTCATACATTTTTTCGTTCTCTTTTTTTTTTTTTTTGTTTGTTTGTTTGGTTGGTTGTTGTTTGTTTGTTTGTTTGTTTGTTTATTTGTTTATTTTTTGTTGTTGCTGGGTTTTTTTAGGAAAGGTCTTTGACAGACCTTCGTCAGCTAAAACAGCGGTCTCTCGCTTTGAATGAGGAAAAACAAGTTTTGGTCATTCCCGATTTCATGAGTAGAAAAAGCATGCTAAAATATGTTGAAGAGTTCGAGCGTATTCAGACGAATAATTTCAGAGTGGAAAACGTTTGAAACTCAATCCTTACCCACCCTAACCCTAGGCAGCACGCGATACATTCTCTCTTGGTTATTTTTGCAAATTTCAAAAGAAAAGAGGCTTTTAAAAACTCTTATTCATAGGGATATTTAATTTTCGTGGACGATTTTCACAATATTTAAATATTCTATGATATGTTTTTGATTAACAATTTTTGCATTACTGCGGGGTGGGGCTGAGGACCTTTTTTAAAAAAGACTATGGTTAATGTATTGGTGAATCTCGGTATTATGACTCTATGTATAGAAGTGTGAATAAATGAATTATTTATTTTTTTGACACTAGTCAAGACGTGTAAATTATAGTGAAAATACTGAAGAATATGCTGTTGTTGAATAAAAATTGCAGTTATTCAAAATCTGATGGTAATGGCCTTCAATTAATCAACTGSACTGGACGGGATTCCAGCAATTTGTTCCAGTTATCACCGGACTGGAACTTTATTGCAAACTCGATAACGTTTGAAGCAATCAAAATACAGACACCAGGACAAGAAAGAGAATACTAAAATTAGCAAAGCTGCTGAGTTTGAGAGTTAATTGGCTACCCCTCTCATTATTTCTTAATGGATACTTAGAGTTCTTGAGGGACTAGCAGAGCAGATTAGTTATGCAAAGGGCTGGACAAACTACGATTACCTGGACATTAATTCTTTGTTGTTAAAGGGTATGAGCACCCGCGCCTTTTATCTGTTTATTTTTATTTTTCTATTTCATGTTATCTTGCACTGAAATTTAATTGGACGTCAAGTTCTTTCTCTTTTCTTTTTCATTTCCCTCCACAAACCCCCCCAACCCCCCCCCCCCCTCCCCCCACCACCACTCTTTCAATTGCCTTGTTTGGTTCTGTTATACAATATCGTTAATCCCACGCTATCAGAGTGTCTGTCGCAACTTGTTTTTAAACGTAAAGTCATCTGATCTTAGTTCAGTTGAGACAYCGATCTCTAAAAGTTACAGCCATGGAACGCGATCAACTTGCTTTATTTCTTTTGATTGTCGGCTTAAGTTTGGTTTGCTGCACAACGTCACAAGAACCCACCGTACAAACAGAAGGTATGATGTGTGAATCATATTTAATATATAATCATTAGGCTTTCTTTCAATTTGATCCTGTTGACCTGAAGATATGCAATAGTTTAAGCAATCTTAATGGAATCAGTCCTCATCACAAAACATTCACCTTTGTGGATATAAACCGCGGCAGAAAGAGGAAACTCGTTGTGTAAGCCTTCAACGTGAGATAAAGCATTCTCTTTCTCGAAAATGCAGTGTTATGACGAAACCCATTCTATCAGCTATGTAGAACTGGCTGCAATCATTGATAGATTTGTCATGAAACCCGTGGAACAAAAACTTATTTTAATAACACTTTAAAAAGTGTGATAGACACGAAGGAACTAAGGAGCATTAGGATAATATCTATATAAAATCGGTTTCTTATTTACACAAAATCACGGGCACAAAATACTTATAGATCAAGATACAACTGCGTCATCATATTCGAAGAGGAGAGCAAAGTCCAGTTCTGTGATCCCTAAGGATAACAAAAGCGTTGGCAAAATGCCGTTGCTTTTAACCCAGAAAAACGGTTTACAGTGTAGATTACTACAATAACATCAGTCAGAAATAGTCGTACATACCAATAAAGTTAATTTGTCGATCGGTTCTTGCGGGATCCCTGTGCTTTTTAGTTTTGAACTGTTAAAATTCTAAGGCTGCATTCATTATGTATACTACAGGGGGAGCAGAGGAAATTTTGGGGGGATCTGAAAATTTAGGGACTGGAAAAGGGGGTATGTCAAATTTTTTTGGCCATACATAGAATGTCTATCATGTCTATCGTACAAATTTAGGGGAGATATGAAAATTACTGCTGAGATTTGTGGGAGATCCAAACATTTTGTGCCTTCTAGCAAAATTTCCTCTGCCCCCCCTGTGGTATACATAATGAATGCAGCCTAAGGCCATTTCATAGTAATGGTACCCTTCATAGATCAACTAGATTAACTTAGATTAATTTAGATAGGAAAAACTAAAGCAAAATAAAAAGGGTGGCCAGCACCTTGGTTTTTACTCTTGAGGGCGTCAATTTTTTTTATTTATGCTGTCACTAGTTTCAGACACGTCCAAAGCACTGGTAACCAATGGCTGTTCTTGTGACAAAGAGAACGATGACTGTGGATGTTGTGCCCACATGAAGATTGATAAGTTACACATAGACGATAATGGTAAGCGCTAATCCTTTTGTGATGCACCTAATGCGCATRCTCTTACAAGATGATGTCACGAGTACCTGGTAATGATTGATGATTCGGAAGGTCAAGCAGCGAGAGCGCTAGCCTGTCAATCAATCTTTTAGTAGCCGTTTCCAATTCTCGGTCGGACACCATAACTTTATTTGCGCGACACTGTTCTAAAGCTTCTGGACTCCCTGTGGAAAGAGCGCGGAACTGGTAACGACACTCCGCGGTTTTGTCACAACGCAGGAAACCCAAAAGCAGAAATTTGCCTGTGTAGAAAACCAATGGCCAGAAAATRCAATATGTGACTTAGACCCTGTTTACATGATGTAGGGTGCCCGTAGGTGGAGACCTTAACTCTTTTATTTTCTTTCTTCTGGAAGATTTAAAAAAAGTGTTTGGCTGTACTACCTAGAGCCACACCGTCTCAGTTAAGGTTCTCGCTCTCTTCCTTGCTGTCCCGAATACAGTCAATGTTACTATGTAAAGCAGCATACTATGTATAGCAGCATACTAATGTGCGATGTATTTATAATGTCACTGCTACTCAGCGCATGAGCTGCGTCTTTCACAATTCATCTCTTTTGTAGTGATAATGAATAGCGATAAGATATGATGCTTACTGTCAGGAGATGAGGGGTTCATCGCTCAATATACTATATTGTTGTTTTCTTTAGCGTGTGTAAACGTGACTTATCTACCAGATAAATATGGTGTGTCGATATCTTTCACATGGAACGACAAGGTTGTCTTTAACAAAACGATATCAGGTAGGACTTCTTCAGAAAAAGAAATGTTAGACTACTAAGCGGAAGCAACTGACAAAAGGACTCATGCTTAAGACATCCTTAGAATCCCAAGTACTGTAAAACACGATCCTCGCGAAATTAGCATACAGGGAAAATAATTTCAACTTGCACAAATTTCTGCCAGCCAGCTTCCGAGAATGCGTTCAGATTTACTTCAAGTTTTTAAATTAGAATTTCTTTCAGGATATTAACATTGGCTTTATGTAAAATGGTATCACTAGTTGTTGTTTATTGATCATAACTGAAATTCTAAATATTATTCATTTAACATGAAGTATTCAATGTAAATCAAGTCATATGCAAGTCATGTCTTCCTTATATTTACAAATTCAGTTAAGTCTTGATTGCTGTGTGAATTGTAGTTGATGTCATTTTGCTAACTTTMTCTTCAGCCAGCAACCCTCCGCCAATCTGTGCTGGAGTACCGCATGTAAAGCTTCTTGAAGTATGTGTCCGACTCTACAACATCTCGTACGRCAAGCAGCACTTTGGTGGGTGTATAGCGCTGGAGTTTGAACTGGTTGGCTTGAAGGAAGACTTCCCTCTCGGATGTTTTTATAAAAGTCACGCCCAAATCGAACAGAATTACAAGAAATTCCGAAAAAATGTCGATGAAGTGAAAAGAAACCTTCACGACATCAAAGAAACTACTAAAAAGGARATTRATGAGTGGGGTTATTTGGTCTCTGAGGGATTTTACGATAATGTGAAGACAAAGGTTGTTGAGGAGATCGGCAGTTTTCGCAAATTTTTAGGTGATGCGCTGGTTGAGTTTGGAGAATTAATGAAACCACAGCAACAGGAAACAGAAGAAAAGGAACATCCTTCTAAAATAATTGATTGGCTGGGCAAGAAAATAAAAGGTTTCCAAGGAAAATGAAAAATAAGATTAATATTTTATATTTCAGTAATCATGTAATTAAACTTTTATCATTATGTAATTAAACTTTGTTATTCTTTTTTGTGTTTTTAGTTATTTGTAGTAATCAGAGTATGTTGGATAGAATTAAACACTACAATACAACTAGTCAATCGCTAACAGCGCTACCCGAACTACGTATAGTGAATAAGAAATTCTGAATAAAAATTCTATTTACAAAGCGAAACACTAGGTTTTACACACAAACTCGTAAGACTTTATGGATGTTTATAGAAAGAAAGTCGCACGTTCAATGATTAACAGGTTCACACCCCCACTCAACTAATAGCCATAYAGATCAGATGACAATACCCGGGGGGGCTACTCGACCCCGTTTTGGATAGGTACGTGCCGCCAGCGGYCTAAAWCCCTGACCCTGTTTAAGACACTARAAAGTAAAAATCCATACCCTGTTCAAGACAAAGGAATCGGTRTCTACGCCGCATATAACCATCAAAACTGTAGTTATACTGACAACWCGTTAATCCTGTTACAGTGAAACGTTATTTCTACTATTTYTACGGTATTTCTTATGAAAATATTACCCTGTCCAAGACACAYAAAAAAATTATCTCGGTCTTTTATCTAAATTGTAGAGCCTGTTTAAGACAATTTCGGGTGAAATGTATACCCTGTTTAAGACAGCAAGGCCAAAAAVCATACCCTGGCCAGCGGGACGTCCCCGTATAGCAAATATATGGGAGTATCCCCCACGGGTGACAATATAGGTTCCCTGTCTCGTAGATTTGTCTGTACATACGAGCGAACTTGTGGTGCCAAATTTTTGTTTTCCATTTATTTTTGAAATAAAAAATCATAAATATAGTAATAACAAAACAACATTGAGCTGAACAACACACGAGAGAATGTATAATGAAAAGAAAGAAAAAAACAAAACGTCAGTTTTGTACAGACTTTTCAAAAGTCAACAGAGGTCATACAGTCATGCTTTCTTGCAAACATATGAMCATGGTTTACGCCCTTGTGTGATATCGGCGATTTCCATAACTATGAAGCAGTGTGCTCTAGATGATTAACGGACCATGAATTCTATCGACATTGCAAAAGAACTTTATTCATGTCAATGTGCAACGTTCCGATAAACTACATTCGCAAAAGTGTTTGAAATTGTTTTGGCAAACGAAAATGGCTTTTATTTATTTCATTTCTGTCTACCTGCATTTTTTTAAGGTTAGTTTAGTGACATTTGACAGGCTTTTAAACCTTATACCGTCTCTTAACAGGAAATATAAACTTGTCTTAGATTTTGACACCATCTCAATTTCTTTGTCGTTCTTACAACTTCAGTTGTAGGTAGAAATACCATCCGCTTCAACTCAGTGTACTCCTTTGTTTTCCATTGTTTGCCTGAGSGCTGAATTTCTTATGGTATATCAACAAAACTGCCAACTGCGACTAACAAATAGAATCAAAGCTTACAAAAATAGCTGTTTACGCTATTTTGGACATTGACAGGATATCAGCGTATATGAGCCTTACTGGCATTTACTTCAGAAGAAAATAATAATTTTTGACTACATTGAAAAACCTTCCTCGCGGTATCATATTTATGAAAACAAGCAAACTGTTAGTATAATCAAAAMGTCATTCACGATTAAGTAGCCATCCCTTCGATCTCCATTTTGCCACGTGCAGTAACTTGCAAACCAAGGAAGTGATGCTGAGTAATTTGTAATAATTTCAAACTCCCTTAACTTCATCTCACAGTACTCAGATCATTTCCATTCAGTCCTTCATCTTGAAATCATTTGGACCACCATGTATGATCGAGTTCTAAGAAATCTGGTGCTATCGCATGTGGGACGAAATATATTGGTGTCTTTCTAGGCCATTCGCGCCTGGGCACGTAAATTTTGATTCCTTAAAAAAAATTAAAAAGTTTTCAAAGTCGTTAAAAGGSATCCAGAATTCGGACTTGAGGTGCTTTCAAATCCCTTGCAAATAGTCCCAGACTCAGCTGCGTCTCAAGTGGAACTAATTTAAAATCACGTCAATAGACATCCGCACGCTGATTTAGTACAAATAATATTTATATGAACAAAAATTACAAATGTACGGAAATAACGTTTATAATAGATATATTTCGTAAATCAGAACCCAATGATGTTGCCAGGGTTTTTAATGTATTAGCCCACCGGACTTCCTTCTATCCTTACCGCAGTATCAGCAAAATCTATGAAAAATAATCTTAAAGAGATCATTAAAACTTACTCATTCAAATATTGATATATAAAATCTTTCATCTGATTCTATCTAACTCTCTATCTAACTCTTCTATCTAACTCTTCTATCTAACTCTTCTATATAACTCTTCTATATAACTCTTCTATATAACTCTTCTATATAACTCTTCTATATAACTCTATCTATATGGACTTCTGAAGTGTATTCTGCTGCCGAAATGCATTTTTAGCCTTCGCATACCGCTATTTACTATGCTGGCTCTGTTCTTTCAATGGAACATTTTTTTCAGAAGTATAATTCAGTACAGCAAGTTACGTGGAATAGTAGTATATTTGTATGTCGTTCTTACAATCACAGCAGTACTCATCGATATTGACATAGCTATATCGTCGTTTAAGTAATTCACGATCATTAAAGATGATGAATAGTTGCTCGTGTCTCGTTTTTATTCATGATATCACTACGTTTACCATCATCATTCCTTACTCGCCCGTGTTTTACTCGTCTCTCGATACGGTGATGTGGTTATAGCGGCTAACCGTTTGATTCATTTGTTGGATTGTATCGATAGCGGACGAACACACGCGACGCCGTTCGCTTCAGCTTTGTAAAGTACGCGCAACCTGCACTTAAAACTTCAACCTTATCGCATTTCTTTACAATAGGACTTCAATRAAATTCTGAAATTTGACTAATCTCTTTTTTCAAACAATTTTTCTTAATGAAAAAACTTTGGGAAAAAATAGAGAAAGTCACTAACACATTCATGATCATTTTTGATATATTTGTCCTTTTCCCTTTTCTACTGGCCATCTGCTTGGCAGAGATTCAACTACAGCAATCATATTCTTACGCGAGTATGAATAGTCTTTTAATGGTATTTAACAAACAATGGCTGACCATCAGCTGAGATACTTAATTGTAAGTCCACGTATTTATAAGAACTTTTGAGCTGATTCCTGTTTGACGAGGAACACCGAGAAGGGAAGTACATTGAAGACTAGGTTAACATCAAAACAAACCAATAAACTTGTTTATTTTCATAGTGTGAAACCCAAAGTTTATGACATTGTGTTAACATTTCATTTTCAAAAGTCAAGCTTGTTTTCGTATTGATCACGCCCAGTGTGGTATGTGAATAGTTTTAAAATACACCTTGACATTACTTGAAAAACATTAATGACATCAACTGGCCCGGTTGCRAGTTCAGAACTTCCTGTGAACAGAATCGAGACAAAAGATATTTTCTATGAAGGTGTTTTAGCACTAAGACAATGGGCCAGGATAGATGTCTATAGTTTTTAGTATTACTGAATCATAATGTATTCTATCAATTGATACGAAACTCAATTATATACCGACATTTTTCTCTTATTCTTCAATTGTAAAAAAAACATTCTTATGAATTTATTCAAATTTTCCACTTATCACAAATTCTATCTTCATCTTTCACATATCTCTTCAGTAACTTTTTATCGTGAAGAAAACTTATTCAACGTTTTGAAAAGAAACGCTCATTTTGAAACTAGATTAGAAAAAYGTACGTGTGCACTGATTTACAGTTGATCCACTCAGAGATCCTATCGACGACTGATTGTTGTTTTCAAGGAAGGAGTCGTTGGTCAGTGTGTGGACGTAGCATCCTATTTGAAAATGGTCTTTGTTTATATTGAACGCTACGGTTATCAGTAAAATGCTATAAAAATTATTTAACTCGCCTTGCAAACATTTCGCTATCCCTTTATTATTATGGTATTATTATAGCTCTACATGTCGCCTTGTACACTTGTAAATCTGTTTCCAAAGAGTAGAAACAAAATCTATTGGCGATCAGCAGTTAATACTTCCTCTCGKGACACTGCAATACTAATGCGATTTTAACAGCCGATGTTTTCCCCATCGAAAATATATCAAATTGTCATTAACGAGMACTTTTACTGCGTCAGAATTCACAAACGAAAATCAATGGCTCTCGATCCAGAAGTCCTAAGTGATATGATTTACTGTACAAGAAGGRCCAAGTAGTAATTGTACGTTTATTGTCTTGTTTGTTGTTTTGCTGGCATATCGGTGAGCCATGTTTAATGGAAAAGCAAGTAATGCAAGATTGAAACCTTACCTATATTCCCAGAKAAATTAGCATAATTAGTAAAGGGGCAAAATTCCTCAAACAGTAGCCATTGCGCTGAAGTCAAACTCTTTAGAGGATTGAATTTTAATGACCTTCTCAAAATAGAATTAACAAGAAAGTACAATGAGAAGCGAATGGAGTTACTCAATATCACTTGATTCCGTGCCATAGGATCATGTCAATGACATGTTTTTGAGCAGAGAACACAGGGTTCGATTTGATAGCTAAGCGTTACCAACTGTCTGTGCTCTATAATGAAGATAATAGGTGCCAAAATAAAGCCTGTTCCGTGTTTCATTTTGGGGATCTCTCAAGGTGGCTTCACATGTGTTTTGGCTGAGATTTCCGAGAATTTGATTATGTATTTTAGAGAAAAACAACCCTTAGCGAAAGCAGAAAACGTGTTATAGTAAAGAACCTCACGTGCTAAGTCTTCTTACTGGTGCACGACTTACAGCACTTGCAACGTGCTCGGTACACACAATGGGTGCATTTWACACTAATCATGTTGATTTGATAAATAATTGAATGTAACCATTGCTTAATGTATCCARCGTATGAGCAAAATATTGTGTTGATATCTGTTTTAGTGGCAAGAGAAGAGTCGCACTACACCTTAAAGATGGGAGTACATCCCCTTMGGTGAATGGCCAAAGGGGCGTTTTAATTGGAAGTCTTTTCTAAGATCCAGATATCGAGAGTTAAGCTCAATAATGAATACAATAGGAGCGAAACTTGAAATACAAACCATAGCTCGAAACGAAGTAAACTGAAAGCTATAGTATTCAAATGAGCACACACCGACAGGGGTTGTGGGTTGGAAACTCCCCCTTCAAGAGTACAATGATATAAATACACGTGCCTGCAAGACAACGTCTCAGATTGTTTCAGCATCAAGCAGTTTCACAACTCGAACATCAATGACAATACTTCCTTGGAACCAAGAACGATTTCTCAGTGACAATCAACTTAGAAATATTATTTCTGTACTCACCGAATTCTGTGCATTTTCAACTTCATCTAAGTGAGGTTCTCTTGAACCACACCCAAGCGCAGTCAAACAAGACTTACTCTAGACCAAGAGAGAATCTATACTCGTGTAACGTTACTCGATAGCTGAAGCAAACTCGAAAATGCAAAGGCGACTGCGTTTAAGGGATTGGTTAGTTGTTCAAATAGAAAGTGGTAATTTCCTTGGCCTGGAATGGCTTGATAAAGAAAGGCGTATTTTCCGTGTCCCATGGAAGCATGGTTCGAGGCAGTCATGGAAGGAAGAGGTCGACGCTGCCGTTTTTCGTGAATGGGCCATCTACACTGGCAGGTTAGTTCCATTACTAATATAAGCAATAACTAAGTTTACTGAAGCGGTTTAGAAAAGCGAAAAACACCAAACTATAAGAAATCGTTTAGCATGTATTTTGTCGACCAGAGTCAAGTGAAGAAGTCAATCAAACGAATGATTGTCGTTCATTACATAAAACCACAGATTAACCACATGCACCATGTACACTCTCGAGRTAGTAACAAAACACAAACATTGTTTGATGCTACTTGAAACATTTTATTACTGTTACTTGGTTKGMAAGTTAGYATGAGCTTTTTAATCTTAGGGTCGTGTATTTTCTTCAAACAGATGAATTCTAACTTTGGTTCAGTTCTGTCACTACATTTTTGTTATTTCTCRTTCTGTGGAATCTCATAGCGAAAAACATATTGTAAARTGGATCTAAAAAGTCAGGCATTTTCAAAACAGGCATCACCAAATATAAAATGAAATAAATAGCTTTGAAATGAGGAAAAAACGTTGGTGTGGTTGTCATGTGCTATTACCCAATTGACTGCAATAATTTGTATTAAAAAATATTATTCCAAAAATATCAATAAGCGATTGCTCATAATACTTGGATTTGAATATTTGATTTTGAATATTTGCTTGTAGCGGTAGTTGTCAGAGCTGAGGCTGACTGAAATTACACTTACCTATGATTTTACTGCGAATAATCTTTCGCGTAAAAACTATATCAACACAAACTGAGTGTGTATTACTGAAAATTCCTCTATTGTAAAATGAGAATGGATTTGTGGTGCWGAGAAGGAATGTTATCAAAATTCGAATAAACCACACTGTGGTACGATGTTTTGTTATCATGGTTATTATTATGAGTTGAACCAATCGATAACGATTAGAAAGATTCTCATTAATTAATTTAACTAAACTTCGAGTGGTATAATGTCGATGATGTTATTTTTCTCATGAGATCGTGTGTCGAATACAAAAAAAAAAGAGAAATTGCAGTAGTGTTCGGGAAAAAAAGAAACTCGTCGCAAATGTTTGTTGTCAGCGTTGGATCAGAGCTGAGGCAGCGAGTGYATTTTTAATATGTCTCTTTCTGTGGCTAATATTTTACACCAACCGTTTGTTTTTATATGCATTTTATCAGTTCTCTGGTTTGTCGTTAGTTTTCATGAAAAGTATTTCTATTACTCTTTTAGAATATCTGTAGAGTAATCGATGTTTTTCCTTGTGCTAGTGTTTGCTTCATTGTTCCATTGTGTAGCTACGTGCACGAGTGCTTCCTTCATGTACAATAAAATACCTTAATAAAATAGCGGAGACAATGAATTTACATGTAATGAAGTCAACATTTTAAACAATCWTTTTACAATATAGTTGTAATAGTTATTAATATACTCGTGAACTATAAGCGTGATCTAATGACTTCATCAACAAATACGTACATTTATTGACGGAGTCTCAGTGCGGATATGATTCATGATTGCCCTTGTATTCGATAATCAGRTCCAAATACGGTGTTCTTCAAAAGCCCAAGAAACAAAGTTATACATATTATAGATTGTGATATACCGATTACCGTTGGATACTGAGCATTGTAWAGTGATGTCCATTTAAGCTGTTAACTGTACATAGTTGGTATGAAATGTATTTCGGGSTTTAAATATTTTYAAAACACTGTGGCTAATAATTTTACAGTTGGACACTGATAATCTTTTTGTGTCAAACCAAACAAACAATCTTCCTGTAAATATTTTCAATTATTCGGTGAAAAAAGAAAAAAAAAACAGTGAAAAAAACGGTGTGCTCTGATGTGTGAATCAATCATTTCAATTCYGTCATCTGCGATTGCCCGGACAACCTTTCCTGCTGAAGTAGCTATAGTCACTTTGAAACCACGAAAATCCTTTTATTTTGCGAACAACCTAGTAGCAATGTATTTTATTGTCCATGGTAATACACTATGCCGTATCAGTATTCAACCGGTTTCTACTGACTATTCTATAAGGTAYGATGCAAGAAAGATGGCACCAAATCCTCGAAGATGGAAGACGAATTTTCGCTGTGCACTCAATGCTCTACCTGACATCGAAGAAGTGACGGAAAAAAGTTGTACACGAGGAAACAATGCGTTTAAAGTCTACCGCATGAAACCCATGCCAAGGTCTATGGGCTTCAGAGGTAATAACAATCAGCTTATAGACGCCAGTTCTCAGCCCTCCACAATGATACGTTTAAGAGGAATTTTTATTATTCACCTTGGCACCCAAATTAACCTAGGTCTAATTGCTCTAAAATTCATAAATGGCAGAAAATAAGTACAAAATGACTTGAAATGGGGGGAAAATTCAAATGACTCTGCCAAACTATAGGCTATTACGAAAAGCTCATAGTTAGGGAGCCAATCAGAATGAGTGGCAATTGCCCATATTTTTGTGATTAATAATCTGAATAATGTTGGATATTTGTCTTAGTTTTTTGTTTGTATATTATATATTTTACTTAGTTTGACTCATTTCGTAATTTTGGCAGGCTATTGATAATATTCAATTGGTGTTTCTGTTGTTGTCCTCCTCCTTGATGTCCTCATTGATGACAACATTTTTCTTGGTTGACAAACTTGAATTGTGCAACATCGTAATTTGTAACTTAYTGGTTGTAGGTCCTGATGAAATGCTTCTTAAACGAATAAACAAAATGAAAATGAATGAAAATGTCGTTTATGATGGCGAATACTGGTTGAATACACGAGAATGCAAGGTAAGGGTAATATTACACAATGGCATGATTGACATATGACGACATTGTCGTGCTGGTGAAGATGAGTGGTCTTCATAAACTCGTGACGATACTTTATCGTTCTACACTATATTACACTTTACTTTAGAYATATTTGGTTGTCTTTCAGCTTATCACACATTATTACAAATTAATTATACACTTTCACGGGTTAATCACAGCAACTCCCTCTAAGAATCGCTAATAATAAGTATATTATGCTAAAGTGGTTTTACATCGACAAACAAGCAAACTACTAGTTATCAAACCCATTGTTTTCTTTTGTTCAATATCCACTAGTACAAAATGGGTAGTCTTTCACAGTCAAAGGAAAACTTCCCAATCCTATAAAAATAATAATAATAATAGTTACATTGATGATAGCTATAATAGAATGGCTATAATAATCAGACTATATTTCATATCCAGCCCGGTGCATACTCACCATGTGATGAACGTGGTTTTTACTATCCTAACCAAGTCAGTCACTATAGCAACCCCAGCTATTGTTCTATACCAGGTACGTACAGTCTTGATATCCTGATGATAAGTGAATTGCTCCATTTTCACTATGCGTTTCGCCATTATATTCTATCGCTATAACGCTAAGGAACATGGTCACCAATGGGAGGCGGAATAATCGCAGGACAAAAAGCAAAAGCAAAAAAGAAAAAAGAGAAAGAATTGTACATAATTTATGTACAAACAGGAATCGTTAAGCTATATTAGTTCTGTTTATCTTGAAATAACCTTAGTGTGGGGAGATATTTAGTCCGATTTTCCTCCTATACAAATAAAGTCCTTTCTTACACCATCTATCACCGAGAATGTAAGCGTACTGTGACGTCATAGTGAAATAGGGCAGTTGTGCATGGTTTTGAGTTATGTACATCATGTCCTGTTATTACAATCTCATACAAAGAGCCCGCACTTTTGCCATCCAGCGGAAGTCAATGCGTTACGGGTCCGCATTGCGGCGTTATACCGCTGACATTAGCCGTAAAGACTATGGGCTCGAGATTGTATTATAAAGATCGCCGAGAATAAGCAATATCTCTAAACCTCCAGGTCATTCACTCTTATAATAATGATTGACGTTTACATTTCTTTTAAGAAGTCGAACAAGCAGTTCCTAACGATCACGAGATTGTTGAGGTAAGCAATACTACATTATTTGAATAACCTTTAGGAAATAACCTGACTTTAATTCTTGTTTATTACTTATACTGTATTCTGTGCATGGATTATTTCAAGTCAACACTGGAGGGCGTTACACTCGACATKCAAACCGACCTTGAGTCTTGAATATTATTCGACTTTTTTGTTAGTTTTCTTATTGGAAGATTCGGGAGGAGTTACCTTTATAATATACATAAAAGTTTGGTAGTAATACAAATCACTCTGTTTTACGATTTTCCAGATGGTTGACCAGCTTCTTTTTCCTACACATTTCCAGATAGTCGATCAGCTTGCTCAAGACTTTGACAGTGATCTTGCTAGCAATTCTACTGGTAGCTGTGTGACCACCCCCGATAGTGCCTGTGTAACCTCGCCTGGCTTTTGTCACGCGGAGCAAGGTATCTATGCATATTATCTATAGATAGCCGTTCAACTGACCATTATCACCGGCGCAGCCTCGTCGATTACATTATAATACCGAAAAGGATCACGGAGAGAAATTACTGCATATTTAAGAGCTTCATATMTGATCAAACGGGTCTGAGTTAAGTTTCGATGATGAAATGCAAGTCGCGCGGCTCTATTTTCAATATTTATATCTACTGAAATTGGTTCATGCTCTTGATAAGATTAATTTAAGAAACAAAGATTGTATTGAAAAATACTATGAACCCCAATTTGTTGCGAGTGGAGTCCGTTAATTATACACTACTTGGCCGCTAAAATGATCGATATTTTACAGTCATAGGAGTACTTCAATTCATATTTATTAGTTCTGAAGGACTTTCTAGATTTTCTAATTTCTCTCAGTGGAAGGACATCGTGAATATGTTAGAGWTATTGACTGTGGCTATTTATCTTAACAGGTTCATACCCGATGTACACATCATTAAGGATTGCCAACATGTAACTACAGAATTTATCAACAAGACATGACCATTACCTAAACAGAACACTGAAAACGAGATTGTAAAAGCCATATTTAAAAGTGGCTTATCATGCTGGTATTATCATAGCACAAGTGACGATTGAGCAGATCGTCGAAAAATGCAATTAGTATCTCACGGCTCATAGCCCGATGAGATTGAACAATGACTTTAATTTCGTTTCATTAGTTTTGTTGAACATGGAATTGTTAATTTTCTGTGTATAGCGAAATCAAATTTGTAGAAGATGAAATGTACCAAAAATTAATAAAATGTATTCAAAATGTACRTTGAGCTGCCTTTTGATCCTATCTGGCTGCGCTTTGCATCAAGTTTTTTCAAGCGATTTTTCGCTTTCSMAGGCGACGCGATTTTCGAGATGATGGAAGCTGAACATCGAATTTGAGCTGTTTTTGTACATATACCTCTTTATTGAGATTCAAATAACTATTTGTGAGGATTTCTTTATMGATRCRGCATTTTCGCTCGTGTARCCACATCGAACGCTGGTGATTTTGAGAAAATCGCGTCGCAGCGCAAACGAAAAATCGCTCATGTAGACGCGGCTTAATGCTCCTTGACTTAAGGAGAACAATGTATATAGCAAAGCCAAAAGTAAACATCGATAAGTTTTCCTTGATAATCTAGTTTAATCAGTGTTCAAGCTTAAAAGTTAAAGTACTCTGAATTGAAAAATACTGCTAATGATCGGTCGACACACTTTTGGGCTTTGCGCAATATTCAATAAACAATAACCCCGCTTACAGTATAATATTCCATTTGTGAGCCCTAATAGCTGTGATGCGACGCCAATTATTACATTTAAGACCAGTACTTATTACATTTGAGATTACTGCAGTTATTATATTTGAGATCAAATTGTGATTACATTTGAGTTCCGTTAGAGTGCAAGCAATATATCCGT